TATTTTCATTGTTCTATTTAGATAAGCATATTTTATCTAATAAGTCAGAGTGAAATATTTAAAATTGTTATAAATTTTAATATTAGCTTCAATGAAAACTTTATTCTTTAAATTATTCTATAAATTGTAAATAAATGCTTATCCTTTATTTATTGTATAATTTGCCTATAAACTTCATAAAATCAAAAAGAAATTTAAAACCATAAAACCATTAAAATTCCCTTTTTCATTTCTTCATAAAAGACCTTCTATGATAATAAGATTTTATAGAATTGGTATTATCAATAATAAAATTAATAATTGATTCTTCTCATTCATTTGCATTTTTGTTTTGAATATTAATAATTAGTTTTATCAAATTACATAAAATTAATTATTCTATAAAATTTTATTATTCAATAAAATGATTCATTTTATTTAAATTTCTGATTCTTAAGTAAAAACCCAAAAATATGTAGCTAAACAGAATTAATAATTCAAATCTGTTAATCAAAAAAAAACTATTTCATTAAATACATTTTTGATAGACATAATTAGATTAATAAAATTCTCTTGTCATTTAATGTAAAAGATTTTGATAATGCTAGATAAAATCTGATAAATTTCTAGAGTCTGATTAGAAAAGAAAAAATTAAAAAGTTAAGTTAAATATAATATGATCATCTTTGAGCCTAATATGGTTAATTTATTAACTAACTAAATTTCAGCAATTTAACATTTTAATCTCTAAAGGTATAATTGTCCAGCATATTAAATTAAATAAACACAACACAATAAAAGAGAGAAAAGAGGGGTTATATTTTTGAAGAAAAATATTCAAAATAATTAAAGACTATAATAAAAACTCAAAAAAGAAAATGATTTGCTGTCTTTAATTAATTTTCAAAAAAGAATAAATAATCAGCAAGCCTTGAAAACGATTAGCAAGAAGTTGGCTTTTTAAGAAAAAGAATTATAATATTATTAATTAAATTGTATTTTATGGAATTTACATTTTCAAATATACATTAATTTTACTTTTGAGTTAAAATATTCTATTTTCCCTTCTCAAATAGTGTTGAATTAATTTTTATACGATATCAACACATATATATAGGATGGTCTTTAATAAATATTTTTAATAATTTTGTATTTATCTCTTTTTTAGAAAATCTATTGCACTATTCCTATAAAAATATCTAGAATCAAAAGACATATTAGTTCAACAAAGACCAAGATATCAATTCATATAGATATAATAAAATTAATATCTTTTTAAATTATTCATGATTCAAGTTAAAGTATTTGTATTGAAATGAATTATTTAAAAATAGAAAATATATCAATATTTATTAAATATAGGGATATGCACAAAATTTCCTTATATCACTAATGATTGTGATTTAAATTTTTCCCATTTGATTACAAATACTAAGATTTTTTCCATTTTAAACAAATGTTATCCAAATGCAGACCTAGTAGGTACAATGCTAAGAATAAAGCACAATCAGGAGAGAAGCATACTGATATAAGAGTTACCTAAAAAATCAAATTCTAAGGTAATAAATATGGATAAAAAAAGCAGAATGATTCTCTGCAATACAATGATCAAATAGTTTTATTTTTCATATAATTACAACAAAATTTTGTCAATTAAAACCCTTTTTCCATCACTTTCTATAATTTATAATTCACTTCAAATTTAATTTATTTTTATTTTCTTTACTTTATTCTTGATATATATCTTTTTTACTATTTTTATACTGACAATTATGAATAATAACTTATTTTGAATTCTAAACCTCGTTAATTGATTCTATTCGATGGTCTTACGAATCTTGTTAACTATTAAGCTTCCTATAATTTAGACACAATAATTATTGTAAATTATAATTTTCTACTATCTACAATATTAGTGAAATAAATTGAACAGATGGAGAGTTATCCTCCAATACTAAAGTAAAACCCTATCAATATCTATAGATTATAACTTGATTAATATTAAAAGTTATTAACTTTCAAAAGTAAAGAATGATATAATAATGAACTCTAATAAAACTAAAGTTTCTGAATGAGTCT